AGATGAAGGTGCTGCTGGTCCGGCATAGCAGGACATAAAGCCCGTGGAACTGAACATACATTATATTAGCACTTTAGTTTATCTCAGAAAATGTCTTTAATATAGTCAAATAGACCATTTGAAATAGTTGGTTTGTTCAAATTACAACAATAAAAATTTCCTATTTTCTTTTCATTTACTTGCCTCCACCTCCTAGTGGTACCTATCCCATACGTGGTCAGATGTTACGTGGCCAAACTGCAGTAAAGTGGAGGCAAATGGGAAACTGTTTACATCAAGGTCTGGGGATTATCCTGGATTCCATTTCACCTTCATTGATTTGGGTGGAAGCTGAAAGACACTTATCTCAAAAACTTTGACGAATAAAACTAGGGATGCACAAGACGGATTTTTTATAAGCCGATACTTAGGGCCGATACCGATTAAGATAACGATAATTTTCACATTTTTTGATGTAATGAGCAAAATGGATGATATTCCTTAGGCTCAAAAAATATAAATAAAACCAACATCATTTTGGTTTATTTTTTAATCATACTTTATTGTTTTCTTAAGAAAAGTGTCACAGCAGCTGAAAACATTTCAAATAAAGTCGTGTAAAAAACAACAACAAACAAATTAAAAAAGCTATACAATAGCATATGACAAGTTTTACAGCATCAGGTTCTATCCCCCATGATCCTGCCATCACGTTAACTATACTCCTGGTCTTAGTAACAATCATTATTCTAAACAAAGAACAGTTCTGACTCTTTGTATGATCTTTTTTTTTTTTGAGTAAAATACATAAAAACATACTTTTATAGAACATAAAGCCTATCAAACATAAGAATTCAAAATAAATTATTGTTATTGTCGGCCAATAATTCATCAGAATTCTGAATAATAACAATAACAATACATTAATAATTTCCCGTTACTGACTGAAAATGAACTAGTCCCGATATATATCGTGCATCCTTAAATAAAACAAAACCTATCTGCGTGGATAGATACCACTAAGAAGACACTAGAGATAACTGAGAAAATATCTATATACACACTTTGTATGCAAGCAATAGAGCACAATAACCTCCTTATATACACAAACTCTTTCATGCATATTCACATGTTCAGAAACAAACACACAGGTCAATCCTACTTTTTGACAGTCTAAAAAACCTTTTCCAGTTTACTCACAGTAGTCAGTAACCTGGTCATCTTACTAGTCAGTAAGTCATTTTATTTAAAGAGAAATCATCTTGTGCTTTGCAAAATCAAATAAGAAAAAAATCACAAACATTCACACAACCCAATCTGTGTAGTATTGGGTAATTTGACTCAATAGCTACATCTGTGATTTATTGATGACTCATCTTCTGCTAGTCAATCTCCTGTAGGTTACTAACCTAAGCCTTTATCCCTTCCTGCGTCTAGGAAAACATAGAGCTTGCTTTAGATGACATAGAGTCCAGTACCTCACTGTCTGTAGCAGCTATTGACCAAGCCTCAACCCAAGCTCTGGTAAGCACAAGAAATCTCACCACACCGTCTCTTTTTCAAGCTTTTCTGCATGTGATGTCATTATGTCCTGCTCTTACCTCAAACCTGTCATAAGAAACATAAGAACGGCACATCTTAAGGTTGTGTTTGTGTTCAGTAAGGCGTCTAGGTACCCAGGTCCAAATTAAAGCCTGCTTTGTTTGGGCCAGAGATTTAATCTTACTTGGTGAGACATTAATGCAAATCAGCCTAAACAAGTGCTCCAAAATACCACTGAGCCAGCAAATAGCTTTGTTCATCACCACTGGCAAGTGCAAATAGTTGCAGCTTTAGGGCTAATCTCGCAAAGTTGGCATCACTGTGTCCGAATGCCATCTGATCTGAGATTCAAAAACCATGTTTGTTTGACTCTGGAATGACACTAGTGCATTATGCAACAATAACTAGTCTTGTTATATATAAATACTAATTACTTTACATTAAGATTATTCATGTTTCCATATATTACATAAATACATGACATACATTCCAAAGCACGGTGGCCTAAACTGTTGTTGATGTAGTGTAATTTATTAATGAGCAGGATTATGAAATTACTGAAGCCACATTCTCAGATTAAAGCTGCAGTAGGTAAC